AATTCAGTTTAATTTTTATTTTTCAAATTCAATCTTAATTTTTGTTTTCTAAATTCATTTCGAATTTTTGATTTTCAAAATTAATTTTGAATTTCTATTTTCAAAATTCGTTGGGTAAAAAATTCACGTAAAACAAAAATTTGTCATTATATTTACCATTTTTGGTTCATAAATAAATTTTATTCATTATTTTTTTTTCTTCTTCAATATAATTTGAAATCGAAACAAAACTGATTTAAAATCGAGTATAAAAAAAATTTTTTTGGTTCCTTATAAAAAGAAGAGTAAATTCTACTTAACAGACACTTTTGAAGTGTCATTTTCTAAAGGTATCTTTAAAAAAAAAGAAACCTTGACAATCTTTAACGTGCGATTGTTTTTTCCTTCTAAATCTTAAAATCGAGTTTGATTTCACATTATTCGTAAAATGTGTGTAATATGAAAGTTTGATCGTTCAATATAATCGTAGTAGGAATATTAAACCTGGTTGTACATCCAGTCTTAAATTCAGTCATCGTAAAATATTCGGTAAAAAAGAAACATTTACAAATATTTTCAATATATTTCTTTGCTATTATTATTATTATTATTATTAGTATTATTCAAAAGTGCAGTAAATTTGAATACGTAGATTTTTAAAGACTTACTTTCATCAATAATTGTTTCTTAAAAATCTGACTATCCATTCAATTTCTGTCTTTCTGTGATTTTTCTCTTTTCTTTTTTGCTTTTAATCGAGTTGAATATTAGAATTTTAGGCATCGGATCGACTTTAAATTAATTTTTTATTTTTAAATCAAGTTTTAATTTTTAAATCAATTTTTAATTTTTAAATCAATTTTTAATTTTTAAATTAATTTTCCAAATCAATTATTCAAAAATTAAATAACTTAGTTAAAAAAAAAGTATTTATACACTTGTCATTTATTTTTCTATACAGAGATTTTAGTTTTTTAAATTTCAATTTCCAACAATCTCAAATTTACTAATTTCTAAAAAATAAAAATGTATCCTTCCAAATTTTAATTATTTTAAAAAAATTTTAACCAAACTTCTTCTCCAAATCAATTATTTTTAATAATATTCCGAAAGTTTTTCGAGAATTCAATTATTTAAACAAAAAAAGTTTTTAAATATTTTAAATTGTATTAAAAAATTTCTTAAAATTAGTAGTTAAAAATATTTTTAAATAGTTTTTGAATGAAAATAGATTTTTTAATATATTGACAATTAAAATATTTCCAAATAATAGAAATTTCAAACTATTATCAAATTTTTTAAGAGAATTTTTAGGAAAATATTAAAAAATAATCAAATTTTTGATGAATTTTAATTAAAAATAAGAAAATACATGATTTTTCAGCGTAAAACTTTTCGAAAATAATTGTTTTTTTTAAAAGAATTTAGAGAATTTTAAAAACTAATTAATTTTCAAAAGAATGTTTATTAAAAATTTCGAAGATAAATAAATTGTTAAAAATTATAATTAAAAAATTCCTTAAATATTAGTTGTTATAAATATTTTGGAAGAATTTTTTAATAATAAAAGATTTTTTTTATTTAAATATTTCCAAATAATTGAAATTTATTTAAAAAATTTGCGACAATAATTGAATTTTTTAAAAAGAATTTTTGGAAAATATTAAAAAATAATCAAGTAATTGAGGAATTTTAATTGCAAATATAAAAATTCAAAATTATTCCATACAATTTTTTGAAAATCATTAAGTTTTTTTAAAAGAATTTTGAAAATTTAAAAAACTAATTAATTTTCAAAAGAATTTTTAATAAAAATTTCAAAATAAATAAATTATTGTTAAAAATTATAATTAAAAAATTCTGCAAATTAGTTTTTATAAATATTTTGAAAGAATTTATTAATAATAAAAGTTTTTTTTATTGAAATATTGCAATTGAGATATTTCCAAGTAATTGAAATTTAGTAAAATTTTGCGACAATAATTGAATTTTCAAAAAAGGAATTTTTGGAAAATATTAAAAAATAATCAAATAATTGAATACTTTAATTGCAAATATAAAAATTCAAGATCATTCTATAAAACTTTTCGAAAATAATTGAGTTTTTTTAAAAGAATTGAATTTAATTTAAGAAACTAATCAATTTTCTAAAGAATTTTATTTTAATTAAAAATTTAGAAAATAATTGTTTTCTTCAAAATTTTAATAATTCCAAAAAAAAATTTAGTGCGATTTTTTTTTCAACATATTTTGTTATTTTTTGGAAATAAATTGAAAATATGGAAAATAATTGTATTTTAAATACAATTTAAATACAATTTTTAAAAAATTATTATGAAACTATTCAAAGAATTACTTTTTCAAAAAATATTTTAATATAATTTCTTAAAGATAATTTTCAATTTGATTTTTCATTACGACTCTTTAGAATTTAATTATTTTTCAAAATTTACAAGTAGGATTTTTAAGAATTTGATTTTAAAAAATTTTAATATGAAATACTTTTAAAAAAAATTATTTTCAATAAAATTTTACAAGATTTTAATCATTTTAAAATTGTTAAATTATTCATTTTGAAAATTTAATTATCATAGAGAAAAATTAATTAGAAATAAATTTTTAAATATCTGACTAGTTCTTTTTCACCCAAAAAAATTGAAATAATTTGCATTTTATTTCCAAATGTAGTTTTTCTTTATTTGAACCAAAAAAATGCAATTATTTCTATATTAAAAAGAATATTAATTATCATTATTAACTTTTCTATTTTCTATATTTTTTTTTTTTTGACAATTTTTTTTGCAATAAGAAAATTTCAAAAAATCCCACTTTTTGAAAATTAGTCGAAAAAAGTCGCTTTTTCTGAAAATAATCGGAAAAAAGTCCAAAAAGTCAAACTATCCGAGGCCTGGAATTTTTCCCCCTTAATTATTGAGTTGAATTAGATTTTTTTTTTTTTGCTTTTTGCTTTTAATCATCGAGTTGATTTAGAATTTATTGCCTTCAATCATCGAGTTGAATTAGAATTACCTACGGAATTGACTTCCTTTTTCAATTACACACTACCAACCTCCAGCGGATATGGTCATAAAATCGAGCAAGATTCTTTTTTTTTTTTTTTCTTTAAATATAGTATTCGACATTTTACGTTTGGTAACTAGTTATATTGATAACATTAGTTCCATATTATTAAACTATTACCATAATAATGGTAATACAGTAATTTTGTAATATACAATTAAAAATATCTTTGGTACTTGTGTCAATACTTGATTAGCTTTTTTTTAATTACTCCTTAGAAAAAAAAAGTAAAAAAAAAACATTGCTTATCAGACAAAAAAGTGATTTTACAAATACAAAATTCACTTTTTCACTAAATTATACTTTATCAATATTCGTCGACTCCAATTTTTACGGCAGTAGAGACGAAATATTTTTTTTTCTCAATTATTTATAATATATATAGATGTATTTATATAATATAAATTCTATTATGTTTACACTTTCGAGCACTTATGTACATTTTTTTTCTTTTGCAAAATTTCGCACCCTTTACATAATTCTTTTTTTTTCGACTAACATTAATCTCACAATTTTTTTTTTTTTTTTTTTTGCAGTTCCCTTAACTTCTATTACTGATTTACTTAATTTAAAACTTACTCAGGTAGTAACAGAGAAAACAAGATGCTAAACATCTGTGAAATTTACAACGTGATTAAACATCTTTTTTTCATTTTTTTTTTTTTGTCTGCTTTTTATTTTTGTGAAATGGTTTCGAGGAAGAGCCTAATTTCTCATTTTTTATTTTCTAATTTTGTTAACAGTTTTTTTTTTTTTTGCAATTTATGCACTGATGAGATATAGAAATTTATTGAAAGAAATACTGGTTTAATTGTTACTTGAGAAACGCATTTTTTTCTAAATGAAACTTTTTTAATAACAAAATAGGTGCTTTTATCAAAAAAATTTATTTTATTTGTTTTTAAATAAAATTATATTTATATTATTTAGAAAATAATACGATTTATGTTTCTGAAGTCTCGAAACGTTCAAATGAACGTCGATAATTTTTTTTCCTTCATTTAATTTTATTTATATTATTAAAGAAAATATTCTGTGTATTAAAAAAATTATTCTATATATTATTAAAAATTATTTTGTAATAATTTTTTTGTAAATTAAAAAAATTAATTATTACAATTAAAATTTTTTGAACAGAAAATAAATTTTGTTCATTTGAATGTTTACAATTTTAGGAAAATTACTATTTAAGAAAATTTTTTAGATTTCAAGAGATATTTATTTGGTAATAAGATAAATAAATATCTTTTTGGATCAAAGCAAATTGTTTTAGATAAAAAAATATTTTTTCATTCAACTAATCCAGTATTTAAATAAAATTGTTTTTTTTTTCAGTGCGTCTTACGAATAGAGTAAATTTATTTTTTTATTAATTATTAAATAATAATAATATTTTATAATCATTAAATAATACAATTAGTTAATTATTTTATAATAATTAAATAATACCATTAGTTAATTATTTCTATAATAATTAAATAATGCCATTTCTTAATTATTTTATAATCAATAAAAACACTGAAAAAAAATTTATTTGGTTAAAATAAACTACTTGTTTATTAGCAAATAAATATTTACTTGAATCAAACAATTTTTTTTTTAATCAAATAAATTTTTTTCCAGTGAATACAATTATTTTATAATTATAAAATAATAATATTAATTAATTACCGTATAATTATTAAATAATACCATTAATTATTTGTTTTGATTAAATTATAATTATCATTATAATGATATATTATTATTAAATAATAATATTAATTAATTATATTACTATCAATAGTAATAATTATTAAATAAAATAATTTTCAATTTACTTGACTCAATAAAAAAAGCCGATTTTCTGTCGATATATTGATTGTCATGGAACACGGTGTATAATCACAAAGAGAAAATAATTTTAGCAATAAATGCGGAAGATAAATGAAAATTTTTTGGGAAGAATATGAATATTGCAGTAATAGTAGCGACAATGGAATAATTAAAATTATTCACAGTAAATAATTTTCAATTAAAAATTATTCACGACAAAGTAAATAATTTTTTGTGGTATCAATTGATAGTCTTTTGGAAAATTTCCAATTCCTTGCACAATGATAGTCATGGATTATGCGTTGCTCTTTCGTCAGAATATTTTGCAACTGATTGTGTATAGTAATTAAATAAAAAATTTAAAAAAATGGAACATACCTCTATGGTGTACAGTATTTTTTTTTTTTTTTTTTTGCTTATAACTGACACACTTTGCTTTTAACTTCTAATGCAGCAGCCACTTTGTTTTGGTAATCATGCCGCTAGTAAGTTCTTTATATTTTTTGGGGTATTTACCTCGTTCAGGTGTTTCGTTGTGTAACGCAGTGCATTTAGAAGACCCTCACTTTTACAAGGCGGTTGGTCCTTCAATAATTTTACACAGCCTTTCACCTAAAATAATTTTTTTTAATTAAAAATCGACATTTTTTCTTTTCTTTCTTTTTTTTAAATTTAATTTATTTATTAATTTATTATTAATATTTATTAATTTATTATTAATATTTATTAATTTATTATTAATATTTATTAATTTATTATTAACATTTATTAATTTATTAATTCTCACAATAAATTTCTCTATTTATAAAAGAAAGTTGAGGGACAAAATGGTGGTTTAATTTCTCCACTTGAGAACGCCAAGGTCACCACCAGATGTCAGTAGAAATTCCAAGAAGGAACTGAACTGCCATCTAGCGGTGACTTTAGCGTTCGCAGGTGGAAAGTAGCGACTCCATTATTAAATCATTAATTTCTTGAATAAATTTGTTTCGTTTTTTTTTGACAAAATTTAATTTTTCTTTTAATTTTATTTCATTGATTTTACTTTCTATTGTTATTATTATTTTATTTTTTATTATTTTTATTTTATTTTTTAATGTTATTATTATTTTTTTTTATTTTTAATAATAATGGAATAAAATAAACATTCCCTGTAAATAAAATAAATACTCTCCATATTTACCTGAAATTAAATAAATAAATAAAAAACAAATTCTTTAGAAATCTTATTCTTTTCTTTTTTTTTGTTGAAGGAATTTTTTTCTATTTTGAGAAATATTGAACAAAAAAGGAGAAAATTGGAATGAACTTACGTCAACATTTGATCCCTTAACAAAAGCTCCTTGGGGATGAACATGATCATATAAAATGACAAGTCCAACCATCACCCTTAAAACAAAGAGTTGCGTCTCCTCTCGTTGAAATTGAGCCAATAAGTTTCTGCAAAGAATAGAAGAAAAAAAAGTAGAACGCTAGCCACGAAATTATCGATTTACAAAAATCCTTTCCTACTTATTTCTTAAATAAATTTACCGTTTATTGTTAAATTTGTTAAATTATTAAATTTTAATTATAAATTATAATTACTAAATGAAATTTACTTACTAAAAAACAATAAATAGAAAAAATATGGTATTTCTTATCTTTTCATTTTATCAAATTAACGTTTTAATAAAGAATAAAATAAAAATAGTGAAAACTAGTGAATAAAACAAAAAATTGGGGAAGAAATTATTTGTACTTACGGATTTTCTAGCATTCTAAGACACACTTTGGCCATTGTACCCAACGTTTCAGTAATATTTTCCCTCGGTATGTCGTTGTTCTAAAAAAAAAATTAAATACTTATGTAAATTGTCGATTACAAATTTTGTTGTTCCTTTCGGTGACAATTTTACAAATAGAAAATAAAAATAAAATTAAAATATAAAAATACTAAAACGTATACTATTAAATTATTAATACCAAAAATCAGAAAATAACTATGAATAATGTAATTAAAATATAACTAATAAATAATATAAATAGTAATAAAATATTGAACACCGACTTTAAAATTAAATATTAATTAATAATAAAATTGTAGAAAAAAAATAAAATTAAAAAAAAAATTAATTTTTCCTTTTACAAATAATTAGAATTTGTTTTTTTCTTTTTTTGCTTACCAACATTAAAAATGTAATGGTGGCATGACTGAGAACTCGAAGCATTGGCGTTGCGTGTGCATAGAACAATGACATTCGATTTGCTAATTCATTGCCGACAACGAGATCCTTTTCAGTGCTCCCCTGATGCGTCAGTGAAGCCCTCGTCAATGTTCTTCGATAATAACTAAAGTCATTTTGTATCGCTGGCGTTTTCATTTTGTGTTCGTCGAATTTTAAGACAAATTCTAAAATTTCAGCAAGCTGCTTCACAAGTGCTTGTTGGGTTTCCAAATGCTGAGTTGGCGACATATTTCCCGAACATAGCTGACCAAGAATTTTTGGAACGACACCCTCTAAAAAATTTTTTTTCGATTAAGAATTGTTTACCATTCAATTTATTAATTAATTTTTTTAATTAATTTTTTTAAATTACATTTTGTTTAAATTAAAAAACTTTTTTTTCAATTAAAAAATCCATTTCACTTTCAATATTATATTCGTATTTTGAACAAAAAAAAGAAGAATTAAAACTGTTATAAAAATAAAAATAGACAATGAAAATTTAAAAAAAAAAATAGAAAAAATACAGTACCGAGCTCGAGAGAAAATTCGTAGAATCTTTTGAGTTTCGCCACCAATGGTGCCACTGTTAGATAAGCCTTTCGTTGACATTCTTCAGTTGGTGCCGAAATGGCTTCTCTTATTTCCTTTCCAGCTCCTTTATAGCATTGAATGTCTTCCAAAATTGATTCGGAATTTTTTAAGACTCTTTGAACCGTTTCAAAGATTTCTCTCTCATTTTCCGAAGGTTGAGCATCTGAAAATATTTGAAAATATTTATGTCTCAATATTATATTCATTCCGTCAAACTCCAACGATATTGACTTTAAAAATTTATTTAAAGATCAATCAATAATAGTAGAGAATTAATATTATAGAAAATTAATATAATAAAAATTATGACAAATAATGACAAATATAACAAATCAAGATGAAAATTTTACATAAAAATTTTAGGTCAAATGTGTCAGGTCAAAAGGAAAATTTTACCTAAAAAAATTTAGGAGTTAAAAATAATATTAATAAAGAAAAAGAAGAGAAAAAAGAATAATGAAAAGAAAAGAAAATAAAAAAAAATAAAAAGTGTGAATAAATAAAATAGGAAAATAAATACAAAGAAAATTAAAAATACAGAAAAATAGGAAATTAAAAGGAGAATTAATAAAAAAAAAGTAATATTAATGAATCATTAACTTCTCTTAATTGATGTAATAAAAATAATATTAATAAAAAAATGTTATTACTCACTTTCAAAATCCAAGAAGACATCGTATTTTTGCGGAGTGCAGCAAGTCGATTCGTCCCGAGCCAAAAGACTGAGAAGTTTGCCCATTTTTTTTCTCTCTTTCTTCTTCTACTTCCTCTTTTGTTAAATATGAAAATTCCTCAGCAAATGAAATCAAATCACATGACAGAAAACATCTGTAAGAAAATTTTTGTTATTAAAATTTTTAATCAAAAAATTTATAAATTACATACCTATACAGAGAAATTATTTTTTTTACATTCAATTTTCAAGAAATATACAAAAATTTTAACAGTGAAATAAATTAAATTATAATTAATATAATTAGATTTAAATTCAACAGTGAAGCGTGTACGCAAATTAACATAAAAGAATATAATCTCTCACTCTTCACAGATAAGACAAGGTTACACCTTGATTATAAATATAAAATACGATAATAAAATAACTAGCACGATAATGATTAGATTATCGAATATTTTGTATTAATATCACATTATTGTTGCTAATATTTAATATTTTTATTTTCGCATTTAATTTCTTTTATAATTAATTTTCTTTATTTATTTACTAGCTTAATTATTTTATTTGGTTATTTATTTCCGTGTTTGAAAAATTTATTTTTCTTTATTTTATTCATTTCATATTTTATTATTATCACCTATTTATTAATTACTTATTATTATTTGTTATTTTTAAAATTATTTTATTCACTTGTTTTTTTCTTCTTTAATTATTTTATTTAATTATTCCTTTTTCCTTCTTTAATTATATTTACTTATTTTCTTTCTTCTTTAATTATTTTATTTAGTTATGAATATTCTTGTTTAATGATTACAGGACAACAAATTCAATCCAAAAAATCCAGACCGAAAAATCCAAGAAAATAAGTCAAAAGTACAAAAAGTACAAAATAAAAATGTTCAAAGTCAAAAAAAAACTTAAATAAATAAAAACGTCCAAAATAAATAATGAAACATATGAGAAAGTTATAAAATCGGAATTTAAAATGTTAATGTTAAAATCGCAGGATTTTAATTCTTTATATAAATAATCAAATTCTACACAAAAATTCAATTATTTTCATAAACAAAAAAATTCTTCACAAAAATTCAATTATTTTCATGCAGGTAAATAAAAAAAAAATCCTAGAAAAATTTCATTTATTCTACAAAATTATTAAAACAATTATTTCAAGAAATACAATTATTTTCAGCAATTTTGATAAAATTCTCTACAAAAATTCAATTATTTTTTTCAATATAATATAACTTAAATTACTTGATTAATTTAATTATTTTCAGAAATATAAAATATTAATTTTACCTATACTTTCATTCAAGGCAACGATTTAAAATTTGTATATAAACATTTTTTTCATTGGATTTTTAATTTCTTTGGACTTTTTGACCAGGACAAAAAATCCAAAAAATAAAAACTATTTTTTTTACTTTTTTGGATTTCATTTACTTTGGATTTTTTGGTTTGGACAGATAAATTGTTTAATTATTTAATTTACTTATTTATTTTCTTCTTCATTAATTATTTTATTAACTTTTTTAATTGTTTTGTTTGCTTATTTATTTTCCATTTTAATTAATTTTTCAATTATTTATTTTCTTCTTTTTTAATTTTTCAATTATTTATTTTCTTCATTTTTGATTATTTTATTTATTTTCTTCAACTTTCATTTTTTTATTCACTTTTTTACTTTCTTCTTTAATTATTTTATTTAGTTATTATGTTATTAATAAGTTAAATTAATTAATTCACTTGTTTATTTTCTTCTTCATTAATTATTTTATTAGGTTCTTTAATTTCTTCTTTAATTAGTTTATTACTATTGTATTCACTTGCTTATTTTCTTGTTTCATTATTTTATTCCTTTGTTTATTTTCTTTTTTAATTATTTTATTCACTTGCTTATTTTCTTGTTTTATTATTTTATTCACTTGTCTATTTTATTGTTTCATTATTTTATTCACTTGTATATTTTCTTCTTCTTCAATTATTTCGTTTAGTTATTTTTTTATTTAATTTATTTTCTTCTTTAAATATTTTATTTAATTATTAATTTAATTTAATTTAATTTAATTTTATTTTATTTAATTTTATTTAATTCTTTAATTGTTTTCTTATTCAGTTATTAACATTCGTGTTTAATTATTATTCATTTACTTTTTAATTGTTTTCCCTTTCAGTTATCTATATTTTTGTTTAATAAATTATTTTTTTATTCAATTATCTATTGAATTACCTTTTTATTTATTTATTTTAATCACAGCCCATATAGCAAAATATAAATAAATTTTATTTATTTACATTAATTTTTAAAAAAAAAAGTGATTTAATATTATTACTTTTGTCGCAATCGAAAAGTATATATATTATTATAAAATATATAAATGGGAGAAGATGAAGGAAGTTGGATCGTCGTTTCGCGACTCAAGCTCGAGATAGAGTAGCACTCTCGGCCAATGGAATTCGATGTACCGCGAGGCCAGTGCGGGCTAAACCTATATGTTCACGTGTGGTATATGGTGAAGAGTCAATTCCAGGCGAAACGACAATTGTGTATATACACGATGCATATATAAGTACGCTTATAGTCATGCTCTCATACCATTAAATTCATGCGTGCAAATGAAGACCGAAGACCATGTCCAACGGATTAATGTTCTATACATCTGCATAATAACGAAATTGTCAAAAAAAAGAACCCCCCCTCCTCAAGGAACTTAACGAATTATAAATTCATTTTTTATAACTCACAAAATTTTCTCAATTAAAGAAAGAATTGAAATATAATATTAAATCCATTCTCATATTTTTATTCCATAAAAATTATTTTTAATAATTTATTATAATTCCCGTACATATTTTTTGTCCTTCCATTTATTTACTAGCTTCCTCTTTCATTTATTTAATTTTTATTCCATAAAAATTATTTATAATAATTTATTATAATTCCCGTACATTTTCTTTGTACTTCTATTTATTTACTAGTTTCTTCTTTCATTTATTTAATTTTTATTCCATAAAAATTATTTATAATAATTCACTAAAATAATCTTCGTATTTCATTCTTTGATTCTGTCTTTCCACACTTTGATATTAGTTTTTGTGTAATTAATTAAAATTAATTAATTAATATTAGTCTTTGTGTTTTTTTTCTTTAAAAAATATTGTTTGACAGATCGAAAAATTGCAGGTATTTTTTCATGATTTATAATAAAACAATATTTTTAATTAGAAAAAATAAAAAAAAATTATGATTAACAAATAAATTTTGTTTATTATATGCTTTTTTCTATAACAAATTTCGTTTGACTGATCTAAATTATACAAATTTTTCTCCTTTTATTATTTATAAAAAATAGAAAATTGTTAATTGTTAAAAAATTATAATTAAGAAATAGAAAATATTTTATTTTATGCATAATTTATATTTCTCAATAAAAATATATTATTCAGAAACTCATTCTTTTCTTTTGGAAAAGAAACATTACATACATTCTATTCTATTTGTGAATTACAAATTCTAATTGAAAATGAAATTGAAACTTTTTAAATTTTTAGAAAATAAAAGAAAAAAATTTTACTCAAAAAAAATGTTCTGTTACATTTATTTACGAATTTCTTTAATTGTAAAATTATTCGAAAACATCAATAACTCTTTTTTAAATAAATATTTAAATATTATTTTTTCGTAGGAATTAAAATTTTTCTAAACATTCAAATTCAAATCTTTTTAAATTCAATAAATTATAAGAATATTTTTATAAAACATGAAGATAGCGATTGCTCCGAGTCGAAGACTCGGAGTGATCGCTATCTTCATGTTTTATAATAATTAAAAATGACCAAGTGATAAAATCATTGAATATTATTACAGCAATTTTTTCAAAATTATTTTCATCATTTCAAATTAATTATTATTTTCTACAATTTTTAATTATTTTTTATGAAAATAATTGAAAAAATTTTATTATTTATAAAAATAATTGAATTATTGCGCAAGGAATTTATAAAAAAATTTGTAAATAATTAAATTCCTGAGAAATTTTTATTATTTATGAAAATAATTAAATGTTTGCGTATTATTTTTGGGAATTTGAAATTTATTTGAAAATAATTTAACTTTGGGGAAGAATTTTGTTATTTACAAAGATAATTTGTATTTTGACGAGAATTTTTTTTTAAATTTGAAAGATAATTGAATTTTATGAGAAGAATTTTATCACTCTTGAAAAAAATTGAATTTCTGCAATTATTTGTAATTTTTCCAAAATTGAATTTTTTTTAGTGTTTTCAACAAAAAATTGAATTTCAAATTTTTAAATTCTATTATTTTTAAAATTGCTAATTTTATCATAAAAGGTTTTGATCCTTCATTTGCTTACTAGTTTCCTCTTTCATTTATTTACTTGTTTCCTATATTTAAAAAAATATTAAGTACCTATTTTTTTAAATATGAAAAATTTATTTTAAAATTTAAATTTATTTTAAATTTTATTTTAATTAATTTTTTTATTTAAATTTATTTTAAAAATAAACAAGTCTTGTTTATTTTCCATTACTTCAGATATTCAATTTAAAATTATTAGAATTTGAAGTTATTTAAATATGGAATTATTTAAATTTGAAATTTTTTTATATTATTAATATTTTTATTATTATTATCAGCATTATTTTTATTTTTATTATATATTGAAATGATTTTTAATGAATTAGCTGTGATTCAGTAGTACTATGATTCAGTATTAATTTATTTATTGTTCTTCAATTAAAATTATTATTATTCAATATTTTAAATTTAATTACTAAGTAATTTATTCCTGATTTACTTTTTAGATTTTAGAGACCAGAATTTTTTCACTTTTAATTTAAATTCTATAAATTGTATTTTTTATAATAATTTCAATTAATAATAATTTAATTTTTAGTTTAAAATTCTATATTTAGGAAAAATGATACAGTATTGATAAAAGTGAATACGTATTTCATTTTTCAAGTTTTCTTTTTCAATGCGCAGTTGGAGTTTTGTATTGAAAGAATGCCAAAGTTATCTTTTCTGAAGGCATTGAAAAAAATCTTCAATTGTAAAGAGTCTATATTTTTTTTTTCATCAATTAATACAGATAATTAGACTATTAATAAAAAATATTTCCATTAA